ACCGCCGCTGCCTCGGAGCGGCCCCGGCCGCCTTGGAGCCATCTGCCCCTCACCGCCGCTGCCTCGGAGCGGCCCTGGCCGCCTTGGAGCCATCTGCCCCTCACCGCCGCTGCCTCGGAGCGGCCCCGGCCGCCTCGGAGCCATCGCCCCCTCATCGCCAGAGCCGCGGCATGGACCGCAGTGGATCACGAGGAACAATAAGTTGCCTCGCTCGGAGCTGCCGGGAAAGCATCCTGGACTGTGCAGGAGAGAACACTCATGCACACCCCTCCCCACGCTGCAGCCAAACCCCAAACACAGCATAGCGAAACTTCGCATTTCTTAAACGAAGGAGCCACGTGTGCGCACTGAAGAGCCATTTAAATTGACTTTTGCGCATTGATTTATTAATGCGCATTAATAATGCCACCATAGACCACTAAGAATCCAAGGGCAAAGCTCACTGGTTCCTTGTGGGCACCCACCTCAGCTCTCCCCTCCGTGCCGGCCCGAGCTCAGGCTGAAGCAATGAAGCACGGACATGGCTGTAATAGACATTGTGTTTCAATGCTCATAGGAACACAGGCAAAGTAAACCAAAAAAGTAAGTGCTAAGAGTGACAAACCCTTAAACAGCGTCATTGCTTCAGCATTAGGATTTTTTCCCAGGGATCCAGGGCAAAGAGCATCCCATGAAAAAACCCACAAACCCTCAAAACATTTCTGATATATGCACTACTGTTAACCAGCAAGTGTACTGCAAGTGTTGCTGTGGTATTTGGCTCAGCAGAAAATTCTCATTTAAAAAGATACTGAAGTAAAGGTCAAGTATTTGGAGATGAAACAGTCCATGCTTGCCATCTTTAAAGGTCTGTCAGCACTTTTCCCAACACCAGCAGATAAATGAGGGTAGATATGAACCAAATCTCAGTATGTAACACCTCACATTTTGTCTAATAGCATTTTCATAAGCTTTAATTGCATATTCTCATAAATTACTTTAAAAAAAAAAAAAGTTGTCCTCTTTTTACATGAGCATTTTTATCAAATTTTCAGCTGAAGTAAAAGATGCTGCACATTATGCTCAGAAAAATCCAGTTGTTTATTGCTTCCCATTTGATCCAGCAACATGTGGAAAAAAGGACCCAAAGCACAACTAAACGGCAGGCCCAGAAACAATCATGAGAAAGGAAATACCACTAAATACAATGAATGCACACTACACTAATGGATATAATCTATGTTTTTATTACTATTCCAGACTGGGAACAGAAACATTCCACTGCAAAGGGAAACTGACAAACACAATAAAACCACTTACAATAAACGTAGCCTTTCCATGCCACGTAACAACCCAACCAGCTTTTTCTTTGGGTTTCCCTTCTTGCCTGTTGGTTCCCAGGAAGGGTTCACTTGCCATTACGACACTACTGCTGCAGGTGTGAGCCAGTTTTATCACTACTAACTCACCTTGCATAGAATTGCTTCCATCCTTGCTCACTGGTTTAATAAGAAAACAAGGACCTTTGGTAGAAGTAGGGCTGAATCATCCGTGTCTGAGCTGTTTCTTGTTTGCCCGGTTCTACTTCCCCTAGGAGAGCAGTCACCATGAATTAAATGTGTGCTTGTATTTGTGCCCAGCCGACAGCCTGTTGCAGCAATAAGCCAAACACCAGAACAGGACATTAGAGGGCAGCAAGCACTCTTACTGCTGCCTCGCTTTATCCAGCGCCAAGGAAAAGGTAAAAACCCCCGTCCCAACGCTTGGGGGCGAAAGGTTTCCCTGCCCATTCAAAAATAGTTCCAAATTTCCTGCTTTCGAGTTACTGCAGTGTGTAAGAGGCAGATTTAGGAATACACCACACCCAGCTGAACCACGTGAAGAGTGCAAGGTTAGGTGAACCAACTTGGAGAATTTCTACAGCACACAAAGAGCATAAACATTCAGGACACTGAGACCGTAACTGGTGAAATCCAGGGCATCATAATCTCATGTGAAAGGATTTTTATTTATGAAAGCGTGATTAAAGCTCCTTGCAATACACACAGACACCCCCTACTCCAGCTGTACCAGGCAGGAATGCAATGCTACAGTTTCACACAAACAAGATGCAGAACGATGCTCTGGTCATTTGTTATCTCAAGCGGCGGGGGTTTTTTATTCAGGACACCTGAGGAAAGGCTGTCTTGGCACTGGAAGTTACTGTTAAGGCTTTTCACGTATTTTAGTAAAATGGAGCTATATAAACTACCAACGTTTCTTACCACAAAACTCCACTTATACCACAAGTTCTGTAGCAGTTGAAAAGTTTGAAAGCCATTTTTAATAAGCCTTACTTAAGAGATATTAAGAAAAAGACACTGAACTTCCTTTTCATGTTCGAAGTAGTGATTTATGACAGAATATTTTAGAAAAACGCACATTTTCACAGTTCTCTTAACTACTGCAGAGCCCTTTTACTTCTCCAGTTGCCTATCAGCACTATAACAAATACAACTACTTGAGGTTTAAAGGCTGAGGACTAGTAAAATCATGCACATTTACAAACAGTAAAATGAATAGGTTCAAGTTTTCCATTACTCATTTTTAAGAGTTGAAGAGAAACTCGGCAATAGGAGCTTTTATTTCACTTACCCATTTTGTGACCTCAGAAAAAAATTATCTAGAGCAGGTAGTGAAGAAAAAGGTTATAGTGTTTGCTTCTAAAATAAATAAAAAAACCAGAACCCACAAACCACCACCACCAAAAAAAAAAAAAAGTTAATTACAGCCCTATCAAGAGCTGAGAAACATCAGTGTCACTGGTTTAAGGATAGAAACAAGGCATCATTCATAACCAAAAGACACAATCCATTATTTGCCTGGGTGCTGCAGCTGGACAATCCATACAGGCACACAACATTTCAGGGAGGGTTTTTTGGTAGGTTGTTTTGGTTTGTTTTGGAGATTTTTTGGTGGTTTGTCATGGTTTGGTTTTTTAAGCTTTTAGTTTTTTCTTTCTTATGTTTTTTGTATCAGAAGCCCAGTCTTTGTGAGGCACTGAAGATATTCTGAAAAGTATACTGAAGTTATAGTGAAATGAAAACACATACAAAAATTCAATGTCTGCATGGTCTCTAGCTTTTAAAGTGGTCTAGCACATAAAACCAACTCAAACTAAAAATATGCACTATGGACCTTAACATGCAATGACAGAACGAATTGCACCTTACATGCTTCTTCCACCCTAAATGGCAGAAATACAACTCAGACAAGGGCATTTAGTGACGACAGCAGTCAAGGTACTCCACAGCACAAATGTTTTACTGTCATGTAAGAAAACTAGTCAAACACACTATCAAGCCTGCTAAGAGCCTCAGCTGGAGGCTTGAACTCTACTCTGTCTTCTGCAAAGAAGGTGGCTCAGCTACTCCACAGCTATAGCTTTAAACACAGGCAGCTTGTAACATAGTGCTACATGTGAGGATTTCAGTCGGAGGGCAACAACGCAGGATGGAACAAGACCTCAAACAAATCACTGATACTTTTGTGGGCATTAATTTTAATCCAGTATCAACTGATAATATTTCCAAACCAGAGAGCTTCCTGATCATGAGCCAGTCACCTGCACTATGAAGAGAGCTGCTGTGAACCACTGACTGCAAAACTAAGTATCAAAACACCCTTCACAGCTAAGAGAGTGTCTTAAGAAGTAGGCTCCAGGCGCTCCCCCAAGCTCAGTAAATTCCAACTCTTAAATGTAAGCAGTGCAACTACACGTCCAACTACATTTAATATATTCCTCATTAAAAGCATTCACAACTAGTTCAACCTTCAGGGATGTTAGGTTCAGAGACTAAATATCCCTCATATTTCTATTCTCGCTTATTACTATTCTGGAAAAACATGCGAGTATTTCCATTATTCTGCAAGTTTCTGGACTTAAAATGGGTATCTGCCAAGATCTATTAGTTAAAGGGAAAGCAAGATCAGATGCATTTTCCTCCATCTCCATTTAAAATTGTCTTTATTTCAGTCATTTTAAGCAGAAACCTCTCACAGCAGTTGGGATAAGCAGGCTGTTATACCATTACACTGTTACATTCAATTGCAGAGATACATCTCACTTCATACAAATATAAGCAAAAGGTGTGTTTGTGGTGAGGTTTTTCAAGGAACATTTCTTATATGTCTCAGTGTGCCAAGTACATCGATCTGTACTTTTTGCATCAGGAGGCCAACTAGGAACACAGTACATCTCGCCCGTGGATCACAGGGGGAATTAAGCCATTGTGTTGTGACAAATCTTACCTGACAGAAAAGCACATTCAATTTGCTTGAGGAATCCAACTGTTCACCTATATTCAGTATTGTCACGCGTGGGGGTCCTTAATTGCACAAAGGTACAGAGCACTACTTCTTGGATTACTTAAAGTTTAAACTTAACTGAGCACTACCCTCATATCTTTACTCTTAAAATATCTGAGGCACAAGTATGTGTGTGTACTTGTTTTATTCATAATTTGTCTTGGGATACCAAATGTACTTCTAGTTCAGGTCATTCAACAAAATTGTTGACCTCATTTCAAAACATCCACTGATCCATTTTTCATTCAATGGCAATATCGAATGTTAAAAGGAACATAAAAACAAACATGCACACAATTGTACAGTTTTCATAAATGTCTATTTCATTATTTGTGGGTAGCGCATTAAACAGTTAAATACATTTAAATAATGTTTAAGTGACTGCACTAATGCAGAATTTTAACTAGATGGGTAACCAATTTAACTAGAAACCAGCTAACAAGTAACTGTCTAAATACTTCAAATACAGCTCTTGTTCTAGGTCATCTTTCCTGGAAAATAAGCCTGCTGGTCACATTGGAAATACATTTTAAGGCCAAATTCTTCTGATATCCCTTGTCTGCAGCAGTTTCTTCACCTTTTTAAGCTTCCAATTCCAGGCCAAGACCAAGTTTATGGCCACCAGCATTGATGCTCTTTCCATCTATCAGGGCGGACAGTGTAAGCTTCACACCTGTAAGATTTTTAAGCAGTATGTTTACAACACACACAGTAGCTTTCAACTTACAATTTAACCTCAGTCATTACAAGTCCCAGTTGTAGCTCTCTTTTTATACAACTGCTTTCCTCTGAAGATTTTTAGAGAAGAATACGTTTACCCATGAAATCTACTGAAAGTTAGTCACGTGAAGAAAGCTTTATGATTTTTGTTAACGGTTATAAAGTCAATATACAAAGTCTCTAATTGCTAAATACACAAGAGTTCTCCTTTCCTGCATTAAGACATGCGACACTCCTACCTATAAAAGTTTGCAATGAAACTAGATTTTTCAAATAAGGAACTAAACAGTGATAACACAGCCTGAACAGGTGCTTTCATAACTTAAGTAGAACAAGTTAAGTTGTGGAGGGTTTTCTTACTAAATATGAAGAGCAGGAATTATGGGGTTTTGACAATTAATCATAATTTGAAGATTTGCTATCATTCAACAGTATGACTGGACAAAGCAGTGCCAAAAAAGTCATACTTTGCCTAGCCTAAAGCTAAGTTGTCAAATGTAATACAGTCCACTCCTACACAGATCAGTGAAGATTATAATGTATTAATACCATTAGATATAATAGCATTTGTCTTGTTTAGATAAAGGTGTGATGTATGACTGAAGCTACTGTAAAATATCTACTCAGCCTTCAAAGAAAAATATATTCTGAAGGCAAAAAAATACATATAAATGCAGAGATCTCGATTATTTTCTTTAGGATTCACAGAAGATATATATATGTGACATGATTCACATGATAGCTCTTACCTGGCCTCAGGGTCTGGGTATAACCCACTCCAACTAGACTAGAATTGTTCACTTTAGCCTAAAAAAAAAAATAAAAAAAAAAGGCAACTGAAATGTTGTAACTGATTAGTTATTTGCTACCATTCAGAATCTAGAATAACTGTGATAACACTGCTGTTTATCACATTTACCCAAATTTTATATGTTCTTTCAATATGCCTGTGTTTGTTGAATTAGCTCCTTCCAACTATGCCCTCGTTCCTCAACTTACAGCTGAAGCAGTAACGTGTTTTGAAACAATAACATATTTAAGAGCAGAGAGACTGTAAGAGCAGGGAGAACTGTTACTGGAACGTGGTTTCACAGATGAACTTCACCACTTCCCCTTTTACAGAAGGCCAGACACATTTACCACCAGTATCCCAAAAAATGCCACATCAGAAGACTCTTCCATGTTAATATTATTATACAAGAATTACTATCTTGCAAGTCCAATCAGTATGCAACAAACATTTTGTAATATCATCATAAACAATATTTACAAAATTATTTCTCTCACTTTGCATCACTTCCTCAACAGAATTATTCCAACTTTGTAACATACAGGAAACGTTACTGCTTAGCAACTTTTAACCAGTACTGACAGAGTTCTTACCATGAGAATGTGGCAAAGCTCCCCAAAAACTAGTTTAAAAAAATTCTGTAAACCTACAGAATCAGACACAAACTTTTTTTTTTTAAATTGTGTTTTTCTTTTAATAAATACAGTAGGACCTCTAACATAAGCACATTTGACAGTCAGATTGTACGACTTTGCTACAAGCAACATTACAGAATTTAAATATTGGTGGTTGAACTGTAATTGCCTGGACTGTAAGAATAAATTCCTACAAGGCCTCCCAGCCTATTTTGTACTAAAAACACACAGATACACAGCAACTGCAAATACAGTGTACTTTGCACAACCCTTCAGGTTACAGCCATACTTACTGAAACAGAAGCAGTGGGATCCAACTTGTACTTAGCTGCGATGCCAAAGCGAGTGCTGTTGCTACCTGCTGTCCAGGCCAGGTTTACAGCAGTTTCAAGACAGTCACTGACTTTTTGGTAAATTGACCCACCAAATTCAGACCCATCATTGCTGCACAAATTAAGACAAAAGTTAGTTTCCTATTTGCATAATCCACTCCTCTTTTCTCCCCTCTTTTTTTTCTTTACTACTTCAAATTTTTATTCAAATAAGAATTTCAAAAGTTTGAGTTGTTTCACATTTTTTGACAAGAGAAGGGGAACAAAGGTGAACAAAGGCTTCAAGGCAAAATTAAATGGCAGTAATTCATGGAAATAAAAAGGTATTTCAGAGTGGTACAATTAATTCTCATGTTAACTGTCAAACAAAGTTCTGGAACAAAATTCCAGATCACATCCTTAAAAATCTGACCAATATGTGTTAATGGTTACAAAATGGGCCTTCTGAATTATTGAATACGTGAAGCTCCTAAAGAAATGCATGACCTTTCAATAATCTGCCACAACGTCTTACATAGTAAATTGAAATGGAATTTTTACAGCCCAGACTTATAAAGTATTTTACAATTTTCTAATATATTCCTCAATTTCCATGAATTCAGACAGATATAATCCCCACGCTTTCCCTTCAAAAGCAAAAATTTTTAACAATCTAAACACACTAGAAAAACACACTAGAATTCCACCAATTTTATTAATTTGGACTGAAAACAAATTAAAATTGGACTGAAAACAAATTACTGTTTTTCAGTAGGTTTTGATCAGATTGCTCTGAAGTAAGATCTGAAGGCAGGAAGTCTGAACAAAGATGTTTTACATTTATTTACATTGTTTCATGCATTCTTAATCCCTGACAGGCAAGAAGATGAGCCTTCACAAAAACCCAGAAGTAAAGCTCTAGTCTTGCTCTAGAAACTACTACAGCATTAGTGCAACACTAATTACTACCTCTTACAAATCTACTGGCCTTAAATTGTAATCTGAAACAAATTCAATGTAATTGTCTAGCCAGAAAAAGCATTATGATCAGTTCTGCATAACTGAAGTATTGCACTTCCAAACTGCATATACCTCAGTACTTGGCAAACTGTATTGCATATGCTGCAAGTGCTAACCAGTCACAGGTGCTTAATGTTTTGAAAAGGAGAGATACAAAGTATCATTTACATTTATTTCGTTTCCTACTGAAAAATGCACTCCATTAATGACCGTGTAAGCACCTTTTGATATTTCAAGCATTTATATTTTAACTAGAAGAAAAGGTAAAAAAAGCCTGCTTCTGGACAGCTGGAGAAGTTTTCAGTACTTACACATTAGTGTGCAGTTGGAAGTCTGCAGTCTTGTAACCCACAGAGAAATTATTTCTTGTCAATTTTGATTTGGCACTATCAAAAGTCATCTGATAACCAGCAAGCCAGCCTTCATAACCAAAGACAGCTGAACCATGGATTGCAGGCCCAGCAAAATCAAAGTCAACATCGCAACCCAGGTTTACACAGTCACGTCTATAAGCTGACTTAATTTTACCACTTTTCTTCCTGAAACAGAGATAAGAGTTATCTTGAGACAAGTATACATGATATTCCTCAACAACCTGCCAAATTCAAGCCCTTTGACTCTACATAATTCATCTAAACACCTTGCACAGGCAATCCCCTGGACCAGGCAAAAGCCAGCCCATCCAGAGCACCCAGGGCTATAGCAAACAGGTATTTTCTGATGAATGTAGCAGCAGTTTAACATTTCCTGCAATCTTCCAGGTATTTCTATCCCAGAAAATAAGCGAAGTTGTGAAATGTGTAATACTAGCCCCACAGTGATGTCATGGTGAAGAGCATGAGCATAAAAAGCCTTCAGCACTGGGATTTGCTAAGCTGGATCAACAGTAGACCATAGAAACAGCACTGTCAGTACCAAAGACCAGATCAATGGACCATGGGTGCTGTTACACCCTAAGCAAGGTAAAAAAGTTAACAATTCTTACCCTGTATTTGGTGAGAAAGTTGTATCAAATGTCAACTTCAGGCCTTTGGCAATCTAATTGAATGGAGGAGAAGATAAGATAAAGTTACAAATTCAGTTCTTACACAGAGGTAAAATAAATAAATATTCTCCTAATCTATTACCTGATCTTCAATTGCAATTTCTGTTCCCAGAGTGTTATCCGTGTTCCATTTTTCTGTGAAAGTCAGACCATACTCAGCCCACTTGTATTTGGTCTCCAAGCTCCCATTGACTTTTCCAGTGTCTGTGTTCGATGAACCAGATGTTGTGAATTCCTAAAAAGCACAGAAGATACATGTGATCCTGAAAGCATTACACAATGTTTCCTTCAGCAAGCATTAAGATCTTGTTATTATATGGAAAAAATTTAAAATCAGTAGACAACTTGCAGGGAAGAAGGGAGAATAGCACTGCCAAGAAGAATTAATGACTCATGCCCACATAGAGGCCTCCCCACAATCCCCATCTCAACTGCAGTGTTCCTACCACTATTATAAAACATACAGAGTGGCAAATTAACTCCAAAGACAGTAGCCACCATAAGGATTCTCCTCTAAAGCAGCAACAAATTCTTGAAATGTAAGGCTCAGTTTGATACTCCCAATGAGCAACTTAAAAATCAAACCATGAGCCAAAAACACTATTAGGCACGTTATATTTTACATAACTCCAGTAAAATTCTTTAAGAATCACGTACGTATTTTCATTACTCTTGTCAACCATCCCTGAAGATAGTCTGCAACTGTAAAATGTCATAGAATGGCATAATTTTTCAAACTGGGGGTGGGTGGTTTGTTTTTTTGTTTGGGTTGGGGTTTCAACTGGTTTTCAGAGTTCTTAGTCTGCCCAATGCACTAGCCTTTCACACCAGCCACAGGCACATCTTTTACCGGCACTTTGGTTCAATGAAGTGGGAGCTAAGCAAACAGGCTGGGTTTACAGTATGGTATGATCCGACCTGGAATTCTTCAAAGTAACTCGGAAGCTAACAGTATCACTCACATTTTTTTATTAAAGGAAGTAATCACTGATGTCTCTCACTATTTGGATTCTCACAAAGAAGAATTAATAGCCTCTGTGTATAACTATCCAAAAACTGAAAGTAATTAGAAGTGGAAGCCAGGTTTGCAAATACCTATTAAAGAGCTCTTTCCAGTGAAGTATTATTCCCCTTATGATTTAAGAAGGCCATTATTTCAACTTTTTAAAACATATAAACATTTTGATCTCTGTCTTCCTCCGTACACATTATTTTCAAACAGACTTCTCACACTCACCTTCTCCAGAAGGAAACACAAATTTGAAATCACAAATCCTTAAGCACTCTTACAGAAAAAGCCCCAAGAGCACAAAAAAACATGAGACTGTTCTTTAATGGTGGTTGATTAAGTTTGACCACATCCAAGACATTTACTTGTATTATGTTAGTGACCCACTATACCATACACAGTTGTGTAATTCTAGTAGGCCTATTTCTTGGCAAGGGATGGGAATTACACAAAGACCTTCAGCTTTAACTTCTTGCTTTGTGCTATTCCTACTGCACAGGGTCTATGTGACTGTAACCATTAGGGTAATAGCTTTAGGATAAGCAAATTATTATATCATCTCTTATGTCTGCTTTGAAAAATCTGTAGTACATATCTCTGCTTTGAAACATCTGCAGTTTCTCCTCCTGGGAAGGATGGCTTATAACTGATACAGGATTCATATTAAGGCTTGGATTTTTCAGAAAGTTTTACCAGCATAACTGGTAGTCCTCCAAAGAAACAAGCTACAGTAAGAATAACTTCTCTAATAGGGTTCTTGAAAACTGTGTTTCAGTTGGAATACAGACTTCTAGAAAAAACAGAGCACATAACTCATGAACCTTGTTTCTAACAGCAGGTTATGCTGCTCAGGCTCCAGTTATGGGGAGAAAAGGAAAATAAATCTACCTTTACATCTTGCAAAGTCTGCTCTAGAAACAGATAAAAGTTACAGGGGGTACTGCTTGCATGACCAAGACATCTTGCATGGAACACTATGCAATGCCTTAGTACCTAGAGGAGCCAAAGGTTCAACATGCTTATTCAATGCCAACTACTTCATACAAGAATCAAGATGCCAGAAATTTCCACTGAACAGTACCACAAGGTACTTCAGAAATAAAATCTGTATACTATAATTGGTATATTAAAATACTTTATTTGTTCACCTTCACATGTAAGGCCAGGGACACGTAATAAGCCCTTTTATTATACAAAGATTACTGAACAAGGCAATATTCCTGATACATTCAGATCTTTAGGCGGCTTCTGAAGTTATCTAACACCAGATATTTATCATTCATATAAGCTATGAAATACTTAACAGCATCTGATATGTGGCACTTTTAATTAACTATAAAAACACAGCTAGGAAAAAATATAATTAATAAAAGTTACTTAAACTCACCACTCCGCTTGCAGATTTTGTTTTCACATCCAGTTTCACTAATCCAAAACCTTAAAAAACACAAGTCAAAGTTACATGAGTAGGCCTTAACCAAGGCCCTGCACATTTTTCAAGAAGCTAGTCTTTCAGGCAGTCTCAGCAGTGTACTATATATATATACACATAAACAGCTATAGACTGACTTCAGCAATGTACAACTTTTAGATGCTACAGGAGGTGAAGGAGGCCTCTCCAAAACAAGGCAGGGAAGTGCCTCTCAGTTCTACATGAGTATGTTTAACTACCAAATGATGCTTCCAAAAGGAAATACATTATTTTCTGTTACTGAAATTGAACAGTTTTTATAGTCAATGTCTTTTAAAGGGCTATCCCAATGCATAAAATGCCTCTTTCTGCACCAAGACAAAATATCTCAAAGTAAAAAACTGTAAAAGCAAAGTAACTGGGAAATACACAACCACTGGAGCTGTAATATAAGTGGGTTTTGTGGGAGTGTCAATTCACATTGTTATCCAGAAGGTGAGCAACAGTCTCAGAGGAAAAAAAAATCCACGCTTCTTAAGACCAGAAAGAAACAGCGCTGTAACAAAGAATGATTTAACTATGCAGCTGTCTGGTATCAAAGCATCTTAAGATGTTGGAAGAATTCTTTATCCCAATAGCCATTCCTCTTTCTAGTCCAAAAAAGGCTAAAACATTACAATGGCATGTAACCCTTTCTGTATCAACAAATGTCGTGGCACAGACAGACCAGTAAATGAAGTGTGCTCCTAAGTTAAACTACACTTGCTGCTTACATTCTTGTATATTTGTACACCTCTGACTCTTATGTGGCTCGAGCAGTAAGATTTACCATTCACATCGAAACAGCCCACCAAAAGCCTTCAATGATCTGTTAGCTGGTGGTAAAGATATAAACACAGCACACCTTCCTTCTCCCCAAAACCAATGGCATTTGATCATTCAATTTTCCATACAGACTTAAAAAGGTAATCCATTGTTGCACCTCAAATACTGCTTCCAGAAGGTACTATTCTTACCATATCCTTTATTGAAGATATCTCTGGCAGGCTTGCCAAGGTCTACGTATGATGGAGGAATCGCCATTGGAGCTGAAAGGTAAATGGCTAATTAATAAAGAACCTTTTGCAACTGCACACATGAAAAAATGCTACCACAATTATTTCACGATAGTATTTAAGGAAGATTCATCTACATAATAGCAATTAAGATATAATGGATATAATGATATATTTAAAATTAATAGGTATGATACTACAGTATTCTGTGAAACACAGATTTTCAGTGAAGGTCACTGGGAACATGGGATATTTTCTCAGCTTATGCAGAGAAGAGGCATTGCAGAGAAAAGCCATTACAAGACCACCCAGTTCTTAATTTTTCAGGTAGATTTCTCCATATGTCTTTCATTATCAGAAATTAACTAATAACTCCCATTTCCAGAGTTGGCGTAGTTACTGCCAAAAACCTGGACACCAGAAATCTAACAGCCTGTAATGGAGACAGTTATTCTCTGAAGTTCTACAAAGTCAAAGTTGACACATGCTTATGAAAACTACCTGGAAGTACCCACATGGTTTTAGTTTTGAAAATCTAAAAAGGGAGCATATCTGCTCTCTAACATCGTTTTTGCCCCATATTTTACATGGCAGACGTACAATTTAAAGAAGATCTAATGCCATTTAACCAGCAATCAATCTGGTAACATACAAGAGTTTAAGTTTGGGAAGTTGTGCTGTTAGTTTAAAACATCCAAGCAGGAGGAGTATGGGGTCTGTGAGAAGAGATCTCTTAACAAGTGCCTTTCTTAGATAGGGAGCTGCTGGCAACCTCGCTGTTAAAGAAGCTGTCAGTGCAGATGAGCTATGGCCCAGCTCTCTGGCCCCATGGACAAACACCAGGCTAAGGGCTCACCCAGGCCCATATCACTCTCCTCCCTGGGAAGATACACTCTTATCTGTATCTCCTTCAAAGACTGTTTTCCCATGATTTCAATAGCAAGAGGCTGCTGTTACAGAGGCCCTGTATTTTAAAGTTGTGAAATATAGAAAACAGAGCATATTAATAACTTCCCCCATGTTGTGAAAGGGGAGGGGATGGGGGAAAACATAGCTAGACAAGGCCATGAAAAGGCTAAACACATACAAACAAAAATCTTCTCAAACTGATTTGTCACATTTGTTCAGCTGAGAGAGTCAGATTAACATAATTGACTTTTTATCTTCCTTTTGTGTGGTGGATTGATTTTCTTTTTTTCTTTTTAAGTAAATGAAGAAATGATCTCTGGAACTTGAAAAATAACAAGGGCAGTGTTCTCACATGTTAACTTCCAAACCCTAATTATACCTCCCATACACAGCTAAATTGTATGAACTGCTACTATTTAAAAGAAAAACCAAACTCCCCTAGCAATCCATGGGAAGGCAGAAGACTGTTTCTTATTTTTCTACAATTCATAATATAGTTTTCCAGCATACCCTACTTCAACAACCTAATGCCCTAAGGGGATAATTTCAACCTCCTCTGAGAAACATTTGCATTCCATCTCACACACATACACACAAATTCAGAGAAACTTCTTTAGCTAAGATGTCTAAACTCCGCTACCAGGTCACTATATCAAGACATCAAGAACAAATCTGGTTTTCCATGGAGTAAACTAAACATTAATTTTTTTAAAGGCAATATGAAAATGGCTTTAAGCATCTGAATTTTAAAGCTTAGCCCAAGTTCAAGTGTATAGAACAGACTCTAATCCCAGTGACAAGCCATTGAATTGTTCCTGTTATTTATTCCATAAAAAGCAGCAGCTGATAGACCAAATTACAAGGGAGTGTGACAACTCTTGCCTGTAGAGTTCTGCTGCACATCAACTGTACAATTCTTCAGTTTAACATATTGTAGAGGTTTTGCTGCACGTTTCCTCCAATGAATAGATCACGCCACTAACTAGCATCGCCAGGAAAATTATTATTTCTAGCTTTGAAGTTTTTTATTAGCTTTTACCACAGACATACTTTTACACTGTAAATAAATGTGCTTTCCCTTTTGTTTTCAATGTTTCCAATCTGACTAGACAACCAGTACAGACAAGAGATTTATGCTAAGTAGAAATATCCTGAGAAGTTAACAAACTTGTATCTGTGTCAAAATTCAGAGGATTATTACAGTAAAAAGGATGTTGCCATTTTATCTGGCCTAGTTAAGCATCCTTACCACTTCAGGGAAACCAGCCAGTATTTGTCAGACATTCCAGCCTACAAATGCAAGTTTTGTAATAAAATGTTGAAGCAGAGTACAACTGTCACAGTGCTGTTCTAATACTATACTGTAATAGTGACAGGGATGGATAAGGACAAAACAGGAAACCAAGAGCTAATTTCAGATGTACTTAATGCCTGATAAACCAGTGCACCATCAGAATGCTCATTAAATGAAAACAGGGCCATAAAAAAATCAGTCCTGTGTCCTCAAATGTTAGCTAGGCTTGCAAATTCTTATAATCACAAGTAATTTTTTCAACCCTATTCTGAAGCATCTTTCACTTAAAAACGACTAATCAGAAGTGACTAAACAAGCACTATTTAGCAACTAGAGGTTCGTTATAAAAACTGTAAAATAATCGACTTGAAGTACAGAATATACTTGAACCAAGTGAGAGCTCCACCCTAATCTTTGTTTCATGCCACCGTGGTGAAAAGAGTTTAATTGATCTGTTACTCGAGAGTCAAAATCATGCTTTCTTCTGTGATAAAAAGAAAAAAATAATCACTCCAAGAACAGAAAAATGTATTAACATTATTTGAATTACTATGTCACAGTTCTCCTTGGAGGTAATATTTCAAAACTCTCATGCCCTATAATTAAGGAATGCCACGAACCTCTATTAGGATTTCTAACAATTTTAAGATCTCAAGATATTCAAGATCAAACTACAAACCGTATCAGCCTATAGTGCACAAAAAAGACCTGTACTCATACAATTTAAAAAATCAACAACTCCACCGAAATTATTCCAGTATCCCATAAATAGCAACAAAAAAATTGAGATTATTTAAAAATTAGTTTGTTAAAATACATCGAACACACGGTGACCTTCAGGCTTACACTGATACTACCCAGAGCTTAAAAAAGAGAAAAGCCACCTCCTTACCCTTGCATTAACTCTCTCCCTACTCACAGACCGGACGTGAACACGCAAGACTAATACTGGCCAGGCCAATGCAGAAACTTTAAGGACAAGGTCTGGAAATGGACTTTGGGCTTAGGAAGCGATAGCGGGGGTAGTAAGGCAGCGCCTCCCAGAGTGGAAGGGCAGCGAAGGGAGAGCGGGGATGCGGCCGCAGCCCGGGAAGGGCAGGGCAGGGCAGGGCCGGGCCGAGCGGCGGCCCCAGGCCTG